AACAAGGGTGCCAGACCTGAACTGATCCCCTCGTCCCTTCATAATGTATAAAGAAATTATTCAATTTGTAAAACCCTTAAAAGCGTACTTCATTGGTTCCCTTGACAGGCAATGATTTATTACTTTGCATCGAATATGATCCTACTATAGGATATTGATAGGATCTACTTGTCTTATTTAAATATCATGAGGATATCCTGAGGACTGAGATCCCCGATTAGGATATATATAGGACTAAATGAGGATATCCCAGGGACGTCATGTGCTGTGTGGGATTTGTCCGTTGAACTACTTTGACCGGTCCGACAACTCGCTGATCGCAGCCTTAATATCACGTAATAGACATGTTGAGAAATTGCGTGTGCTAAGCTTGCAAATTTCCCAAGTCACGTGACGTGCTACTATTTTCATCTCATTTTATATCTTGGCCTCTACCCTCTCTCTATCTACATATTCCATCTTCCATCCATAGTTTGCTGTCAAATCCATGGAGACTAGATAAGGAGCACGAACTCGTACGGGAAAATTGACAAAATCTGTCCAAGAAATGGCAGAAGTTGGGGTGGCGCTAGTGTTCCATATGTCCCAAATGAATGTAGCTTCATAAATACGAGTGAAGTAAGCAAATAACCAATTTTTGAGTTTAGTAGATATATTGGGGAGCGGCGAAGTATACTAACCTAAAAACTAGAAGTCAAGTCAATAATTATTACAATTTGTTTTTATAAATGGTAAATAAAAAGTTTCGAAAATAATTTAAATATGGCAATAGTATGTGAAGTGAATGGCTGTCAACAGATTTAAAATAAAACAGTACGTTTGTGATCTGCATTTTCAATGTAATGATGTCCAGCAGTTCTATATTACAACTTGACCGAAATAGGGTTAATATTATGGCAAAAGGTCGAATAATTCGGAAGTTTTTTTTCATATTTCATTCATTTTCATAAGTGAAAATATTGTATAATTGAATGATGCATTGTTTCTTTATATATTTTTCAGCAGCATCAACAGCAAGAGCATCCGCTACACCAGCAACAACAGGTGCAGCAGCTACAACAAGAGCAACAGTTACAACAACAACAACAACAACAACAACAGCAAGTAAATCAAGAGCAATTAAGTTACGATGAGATTATACTAGAAAGTGAGCATCCTGTCCTGTATAATCTAATAAAAGAAAAGTTCTGTTGACGTGTGATGAGGTCTCGACAAAGCAACTATGAATATGTTCACATAATATTGACAATAGCAACAAAGTATACTTTATTTATTTCTACATATTCTTGTAATTTATATTACGTGCATAAATAATTAAATTCGTATCTTTCATATAATTCTTGCTGGTGACATCGCTATTATCATTACTGAATTGAATAAATCATTTCCAATTAGTTGCTGTTTCTTTCCTGTTAGTAAAAAACTGATTGAAATTCAGATATCATATAAAATTTAAAGAGAGGATACGTGTAGTAATTGATGCTGATCGATCTGTATTGGTAATTGACTACTTTTACTAAATATTTAAACATGGAAATCAATTGCTTCATGAACAAAATGAAATTTTAAGAAGATAGACTGACACGTATTACTTATTTTTAAGTTGTTTTATTTGTAATATATATTTACTTTGTTACTTGTTTGTTATGAATAAATATTTATTTTATTTTAATTAGGCACAAATAATTTCGTTTTTTTGATTCAATTAATAAAACATTGAAATCTTTGGTAGATAAACATTTTATTTTTACAAAATATGTAACAAAAATATAGAACATTGCTAAAATATTTCTTTATAATACCTTATTAATTTTGGTCTATACTCTACCTTGAAATAAGTCATGGAACCATGTTACGTTCGAATTAAATCAACAATTTTACGAAAGTAGAATTAAATTTTACAGCAATTTTAAAATATATACCCAGAAAACTAATCGATTTTAAACAGTTATAAAATATTTAGATTACCTAGTTTTTGTGACCTTTATAATGGAGTACCTATATTTTGTTAAAATTTTGGTATCAATTGGTTATGTTGTTTTAAGCTTCTTGACATTTTGAGAAGAGAGCGATATGACTCTCGAAGCATTGAGAAGTCTAAACCGACAACATGGCAATCAGCTTAGAAATTGTCCAACCATAATTTATCGACTTTCCATAGTCAGTTTTCAGTTACACTATAATATAGTATATTATTGGTTATTCAAAAAAAATATGGATTGTGATATACTCTATCTTATATGAATTCCTTTCCCATCAATTATTCCTATAACCTGCTCTGGAAATTCATATTGGGCAAAATATTGTTCGATTACAACTGCCTCATTATCTCGGCCATTCTATAATTTATGGAGACAAGTTACTTAGCAAGTATGTAACTTTTCTGGTTGTTGTAGAGCTTAAGGCAATGCAAAATTTACCAGAATCATGGGTGAAATAATTAGAAATGGCAAATTTTTCTTCAATTCTGTTAGCTACTTCCCATATGCTAACACGGAAATGTTAAAAAAACTTGGCCACTATATTCAGGTACAGTAATTTCAAAGTAGTTCTTATTTTTTACTCTTTCTGTTTCTTAGAATAAATCTATTTCATCATCACTCAAGCTGGACAATGCGTCTAATAAGTCATCTGAATCACTGGACTCAAAATCGGACATCTGTAATATTTTAAAAAGTTTATTTAAAACACCGAGTTTTTTTATATTCTATTTTTTATTACCACAAGTAAAAATTCCATATTAATAATACAAGAATTACTATTTTTTTAAAGGCAACTTCCTGATATAAAATGTGACTTTTACTAACATTAAACTAAAATCTTTAACAAAGTAATTATCAAAAACATAAACCTTACTTATAGGTTAATATTAACAAGATCACGTCATAAATTCCTTGAAAACTAGTTTCTTTCTACGAACACCAAATTCTTCTCATAAAGCTCTAATATTTTTTATTATCTATTTAGTTTAATTACAGTCCGGAATGACATATTTTCATGATTTATATAATTCAAAGTAGCTTACATTATTTATTTTAAAATTTTTAACACATTACAAAAATGACATAATTGATTTATAATTCAAACTGCCGCTTTTTATCTTCCCTCTCTACATATGGGACATATGGAACACTAGCGCCCTCTTATTTTTGTAAGATTTTTGTTTACGTGGAGTTCGGGCTCCTTGTATAGTCTCCATGGTCAAATCTATGGCTCCGCTTCCGCATCATTTGTAGGTTAGGTATGTGATTTCGTCTATAAGAGTATGTACTTGTATTTTGTCTTATGATTTTTCAGTACTACTAGGTATATTCTATAATATATAAATTAAATATATGAAAAAGTAGGATGTGTTCTTTAAACTCTAATGTGAATGAATGTGAGCCGGCAGAAGAAGTAGTAATTTGTGATACAGAAGAGTATCAGACGGAACCATTAAGGTAAATTTATTACTTTTCTTTAAGTACCTACATAATCTCAAAAAAGCAAGATACAGATTTCTTTCATAATAATATTTCCAACACCGCATGGACATGATTTAAGTGATTACAAAATGCTGGGATTTAGATAAGATGGATGGTACTAATGTATCCATACAAGATGTTCTATATTGTTCGAATATTGAAAAATAAAATAAATTTCTAAAAATTAAAACACTAAATTGATAGATCTATCTTTAAAGATCTGCTTGGAAATTATGTCTGAAGTTTTTAAGAGATAAATACTAAATGTATTTAAGTATACATAAATCAAATAAAAACTTATTTTATTCACCCATGTTTAATTATTGGTATTTTCACTTTCATAATTAATTACATAAGTAGGTATTACTCAAATAGTAGAAAGAGACCAGGGTAAGGTGGGAGGTGACAAATAATTGTTTTAATACTCAAATATTACGGAAGTATTACTTGGATACACCTCAGTATTACTCAAATATTACTGAAGCTTGGACACTCCTGCAGTTTTCTCCTCGGTATTTTCAAAATGAAGTACACGATGAATACAGGCTTATGCTCATATGCCAATGCAGAGCCTTTATAAATGTTTACAAGCCATGTGACCGCCGATCTTAGGCAACTCAACATTGTATGACTGGTACTAGGAGAACGAACAATCCCCAAATCTTGAAATCACCACTATTAATGATTCGTTTACAATGAATAGTAACCATAGACTACCTAGACTGAACTATAGAGTGATTAAGGTGAAGGCAGTTGTTGGCCTGATGGTGGCCTGGCACAAGCGCAGCAGGCAATCGTGTCTAGTGTACACTTTGCTTTGATTCCAATAATTAGTTACTTTACCATGGACAAATGTATTGTAGAACATTATATAAATAGAATAGAATAGAACAAGTTGATGAAGAGAGTCGAAAAATTTTCTTCTTTAGGTAAGTAAAATAATATATAAAACGAAAATTTTAGCCATTATACAGGGTGTTTCACATAAAAACCGACACAGGGACATGTAGGGGAACCCAAAATATGGTGACTTAACGCAACTTACCTTTATACTAAACTGCACCCCAGTGAAGTTATAGGCCTTGAAAGTGGGGTTTCAAATTTTGAAAAAAATCAATATCCCAGTTATACTTGAACTTAGAGTCAAGTTTGATGTTTAAATTCATAGCCAACTTTTTTAATTTTCTATGATTTTAAATAACAGCTACAATACATATTATTATTATTCATGTTTTTGGTGAAAACAACAAAATTTTTTTAAAACTAACAAGAGTAAATAAAGTTTTAGAATTAAATTCCTCATACAATAAAGTCATATTTTTTTAAGTCCGCCAACGGGTTAAAAATTTCTGTCACATTTTAATGGTGCATCATCCTTTATCAACCCATGCTTCAGTTGAACTCTACTTACTGTCGATTAATATTCTTAGTACACTCGCACCATGTACCAAATTTGGTTTTTCTAAGTTCAAGTATAACTGAAATAATCATTTTTTTCAAAATTTGAAACTTCACTTTCAAGGCGTATAACTTCTTCGTGGTGCAGCTTAGTATAAAGGTAAGTTGCATTAGATCACCATATTTTGGGTTCCCCTGCATGCCCCCTGCTCTGTGTCGGTTCTTATGCGAAACGCCCTGTATACGTGATTTCAGGATATTCCAGAGTTGGCTTCATAATTTTGTTCTCCCACATATTGTAATGATAAATGTTATATTATTATAAATTATTAATAAAATAATAAATTACTGTAAAATATTTTTAGTAAATATACTTTAAAGTCTCAAATTTGTTTGAAATTTTAATAATCCCCGTAATTTTGAGGGAGCTGAAAATTAATCTATTATTTTCTGCAATCGAAAAAATCGTAGAAAACTAATTTCAAGTTCATGTTCAGCAATTTGGAAAAGGTGGGTAGGCAAAATTTGAATAGAAAGATCAGATCGTTCTATGGTAAAATAAATTACCAACTTACTATATTTGCTTCGATTTTTCCTAATATTTTAATTTTTGCAGATACCCAAAGGATAAAACGAAGATGGGTGAAAGCTATAAAAAACAGGATTGGATACCATCAAATTTATAAAGTACTTATGTTCTAATCATTTGAAGAAAAATTTTTTATTTTTAATAAAAATGGAGTCCGCAAATTAGCAAGAAAACACAGTTCCCACATTAAATCTACCAGAAATAGTATGTAATTATACTTTATATATGCACAGTCTGATCAAGTTTGACCTGGATCATTTCTATAACATTTGCCTGGATTGTGCAATTTAAATGATTTTTTTTTTTGCATGTACGAATCTCCCAAATATACATAGTGAACATGCTCACCACATAATTTTGTTAGATTATCTTCACTAATAAGTTTTCTACAACTATTTCATAAAAATTAATCTGCATCCATTAATGTAATAACATACAGGATGTATCATTTTTTTGAGTAAATTCAAATTCAACGTCACAATATTGGCCACACGTTTTTGAATTCCATTTCTTTTAAATTATCTATGCCAAATTTCATTAATAAATAAAGTTAAATGTCGGAGTTATTCTGTTTTCAAGAATCATTTGTATCCCCCAATGTTTTTCGAAAATTGATAATAACTTGAAAACTGTTACATTTTGGGCTATAGTACCTTGTATGAAACTAGTCTAGAATTTGCCGTAGAATTAAAAAATGCATAAATATACAGTGTGTTCCATTTGAAATAACAGAGTTGATAGCGACTTCTGGTATAATCGTAAGTGCGTTTTAATCTATGAAACTTCAGGGGCATATGGTACAAACAGTAATAATGGTACTTTATCATATAAACTTATTTCGAAATCTCAGCCGTTTTTGAGATACAAGGTGTTAGAAGTTAAAAAAAAATTCATTTACTGTAAATATCTTCAGAAATAAAAGAGGTATTTGAACTAAATTTGGTGTACGTTATATTGGGTCAAGATTCCATAAAATACTGCAATATCAAGACTTTTGCACAACCAGTGGCGGAGATATGGGAAACTCATTTGACTATTTTATAAAAAAATAGTATGGTCCTATGCAAAATAATTGACTATATTTTCTGAAAAAACATGCTAATAAGTACAAAAAATACCTGTCTCTGTTTTACGGCAAATCTTTTGAAATTACCCAGATACTGTGCGCTAATGGATTTTTTAAATTGCTGTTAGAAATATTTCTTCTAGTTTCAACTAATTTAAATAAAAAATAAAGTAGCATCCTTCGAGTCAATAATATTATTATTTGATTATTACAAGAACTTCAAAAGAATCATTAATTTCCATGTTTTTTATTTTTGAAACATCTTTTACTGCCAGTAAATTTTTTTGTGTGAATACACTGTTTCAATAAATAAAATTTAAATAAAAAATAAATGTAGGAAACAACTTACAAAAGAAGACACACGAAAATTTAACTAAAAGATTAATAACAAAATTACATAGTAATTCAATGCCAAAAATTAAATTAACAACAGATTAAGTAACTAATAAATGATTGTTACTGCTACTAACAGTATTGGGTACATTTCATAATAGGCGTTCAATATGGGCAGAATTTGCCTCAATACATGCTCTGTTAAAATATTTAATTCTAAGCGCTGGAGCTGAACCCTGTCTTTTAATTCGTCACATGCAGTTCTTATACGACATATTAATTGTTCCTCTGAATTTATTTGGACTTCATACACATAATTTTTAATGCTCGATATGGAGAAGTCCAGGGAGTAAGATCTGGTGCTCTCGCTGGCCATGAAATAGGTTTGCCAATCCATCTATTAGGGTAGTTGACATTTAATCAGTTTTCAACTACCCTACTAGAATGAGCAGGAGCTTCATCTAATTGCAACCACATATTCCTCCCAAAGGTTTACCATCAAGTAAAAATCTTGCTCAGAAAATTTAAGAAAACTTAATAATTTACCAATGGGAATATAATAATGTAATAATAAGTTGACTTTTACTTGGAAATTAATGATTCTCTTGAAGCTCTGGTATAATTAAATAATAATATTATTGATTTGATGATAATATTATTGATTGAATTTATTTTTTATCTAAATTAAAAATCCAATTTGCCATAAAACAGACATAGATATCGACAAAATATAAGAGACATTTTTTGTTCCCATTGGCATGCTTTTTTATAAAATATATTAATTATTATTTTGTACAGGACCGTACTATTTTTTTTTTAAATAGTCGAATGAGGTTCCCATATCTCCACCACTGGTTGCGCAAAAGCCTTGATATTGCAGTATTTTATGGAAACTTGACACAATATAACGTACACCAAATTTAGTTCAAATACTACTACTACTACTATTACTTCAGAAGATATTTACAATAAATTATAATTTTTTTTTAGTAATACCCTGTATCTCAAAAATAGTTGAGATTTTGAAATAAGTTTATATGACAAAGTGCCATTATTTTTCCTTGTACTATCTGCTCCCGAAGTCTCATAGATTAAAACTGAGACACGGTGGTCCGAATTTTATGCAGGAAACTTCGAGGGCAGATAGATATCTTTAAAATAGTAAGTGTTTGCCTTATAACATAGGTCTGGAATGACCTCGTTTTGGAGATACAGGGTGTTGAAGTTGTAAAAAAAATTGATTTTTTGTTTATATCTCCGGAATCTGTTAACCGATCTCAATAAAATTTGGTACAGATAATGTATGATTGGTCCTTGCATTCCCTAAAATATGAGCTCTAAAGGTTCAACCAGTGATGTACAACTGGACAGGGGTCACCCCCTTTTTTATAAAAAAATCTACGCCACTGCATTTTTTATAAGTTATTGTAACGGATTTATACTCTAATGCACAAAATACCTAAAAAAGGTATCTTGAATTTTTTCCCTAAAATTCGCCGCCTCAAGTTATTCATACCCTTTTTGGCAGACACTTTTAACCATAATATTACAAGAATATTTATGTTTATACCTAAAAATAAGTGTAATTTGTAAGCACAGCAACAAAATTCTTTATACTCATTTTCACTCATGAAATTTGGAAAATCATGATTGGCGCAACGAAAGGCACAGGATTGAAATTTTAAGAGCCTTTGACAACTATCTTCGGTATAGTACACAAAGAGCATCTTGACAACTTGGGGTGAGTAAATAAAAAATTTTAAATGTTCTACATAAGGAAGATAGAAATCTGTACCATTTACAACTTGTGCAAAATTTACTTCTGGGAGATGCATAGACGCCTGAATTTTTGTTAGTTATTGTTAAACAGGTATACACAACATAATCCAAAATTCTTATGAAAAATACTTTGGACCGAGGCGAGTAGTCAATTTTCACAATCTGCATATTTGGCCACAAGAAAATCCTCATGAAATTTTAACAAGATCTTTTCAACATGAATTTTCTGTGAATGTGTGACTCGGAATACCTGTAAATCACAATAAAGTTTGTGGACCTTTCTTCTTGCACCACTCCGTTTAAATTCCCAGTCATATCAAAACTTTCTAGACAACCATCTCTTTAGATAGATAGATAGATAGATAGATAGATAGATAGATAGATAGATAGATAGATAGATAGATAGATAGATAGATAGATAGATAGATAGATAGAGAGATAGAGAGACAGACAGACAGACAGACAGACAGACAGAGGATATTCCATAAATATACGACAAAATAACTGGATACAAATGGAAGAGACTCCTGCTCATTCTGGGAGAATAATTCAACAATGGCTTAATGAAAATTATATGAGGTGATGAATAGGTAGAGGACCAAATGCCATGTTAACTATAATGATGCAGATAGTCCAGAGCCTTGGCCTAGCTAGGTCGCCAGATCTAAATTCCCTAGACTTCTATGTTTGGGATTATCTGAAAAGTAAAATTTACTCCAATTGATACCAGACCACAACTACTGAAGCGGATAGAAGACGGGTGTAATGAATTAAAAGAAAATCACCACATGATGTTAGTTTCAATTAATTCCATTAATATAAGATGTCAGATATTTATCAATGTGTGTGGTTCGCATTTTGAACAATTATTGTAAATACGTAACGTTAATTTTGTTTCTCGTTTAGTTGTTTACTCGATGTACATTTATTATTTTGATTTAAATTGTTCTTATTTATAAAGGATAGTGTAAAAATAGTGGATTAGGAAAACTAAAATGCATCAGGAACTCTACCTTACAGGTAGTGTGGAAATGAGTGTAAAGAATTTTGTTGATATTCTTACAAATTGCACTCACTTTTAAGCATAAACATAAATATTCTGGTAATATTATGGTTAGAAGTGTCTGCCACAAGGGGATTGTATTGCTATGAATAACATGAGAACGGCGTCTCTTAGGGAAAAAAATTCAAGATACCTTTTTTACGTATTTTATGCATTAGAATATAAATCCGTTACAATAAATGCAGTGGCAGATTTTTTTTATAAAAAAAGGGGTGACACCTGTCCAGTTGTACACCACTGGTTGAACCTTTGGAGCTCTTATTTTATTGAATGCATACCATCTGTAACATATTTTATTGAGATTGGTTAATGGATTCCGGAAATAAAAACAAAAAAATTATTTTTTTTTTACAATTTCAACACCCTATATCTCCAAAATGAGGCCGTTCCAGACCTACGTTTATAAAGCAAACACATACTATTTTAAAAAGATCTATCTGCCCTCGAAGTTTCGTACACATTTATTTTACAAATATATTTGTTTTACAGTTGTTCAATTGAAGGCACTCAAACAATTGATATAAATTCAAGTGAAGTTGAAGTATCAACAGATTTTGAAGTTTTTTGTGAACATGAACCGTCGCAATCTTTGGATTCTTTTAAGCCACCTATCAGCCCACCTACTACATCGCAGTCATGATATTCTGATCTAAGTCCTACATCTTCGATGTCAGCTTTGAGTATCTTGGACAATGAAAAATACAAAGAGGATAATATAAACATTTCTAGTGATGATACCCCAAGAAAGAAGAAACTAAAGTATGAAGTTGGGCTTCCCAAAAAACAAAAAAAAAATGATAACCTGCCTTTAGCAAAATAAACGTAAAAAGAAAATTGATAATTTACAAAACAGAATTTCTGGATTCCAAACTTGAAATATGAATATTTGTCATAAGTAAATAAAAAATTACACCAATCGTTAGCCGGTGGAACAGAATATTGCGTTTTAATGTAATCTTGATGAATTGTTTTAATAATTTTTAATATTAGGTACCGAAATTTAATTGCCATGAAGGAAATAAAATAACAGTTTCAAACAGAATTACTGGTCACATGGCTTGTTATCATTTATGAAGGCTCTGTAAAAGAATGACAATTCTTTCCTTCACTCTTGTTTCATCTTAATTGTTGGCAGTCTGGTGATTATGTTCCAATAATTGCTTCTTTTGAGGCACCTTTAAAACTTACTATACAGGTTGGACCATTTTGGTGATGCATGTGTTGGTATATTGGAAACTATAAGAGATAGGAAAACAGTTAAATGGAGAAAGTTTTAGACAGTTCTGTTGCTAACTTAATGGCGCTTGCAGAACGGTCCTAACTCTTCAGGTTATTCAGTAATTTTGAAAAATAGTAAAAGTGGTGTTTTTGAAAATCGTAGTTTATTCTTGGAATTTCACTGTATATTTAGATTTTCATTGCCATATTTCGGTTGCGAGAAACCATCAACTTTTTTTTTCTTATGGGCGCTATATTGAATTTTAAGCTGAGCAAGTAGAGCATTTTTTTGCTTTTCAATGAAATATAAGTAAGAATAAAATTTCAAAAACAACCTCAAAAATCAATATTTTAATATTTTTAATAAATTTGGCAACACCGTATAATTTTTCGAAACTATTATATAATAGTCTCAAATTTTTGTAAAAACATATTACTATTATAATGTCATGGCCTTGAGTGAAAAAATGGTAATACTGACCACATATTTACGAAGAAAAGCCTCATTACTATACTCGACGGCCAAAATTATAGATAGTGATTCATCGCTAGCTCTTGGACTAGTAAGGGGGATGAAGCGTGCCGGGAACAAAAATTCATTGGCGTGTCTGTGTAAAAGATATAGAAAATATTGAAAAAACATAATAAAACATAACATCTAATATTTTTTACGGTTTGCTATAACCGGCACTTTGATCAATTTTAATTATTATAGCATTTTAAAACGTCCCAGTTGTGTTTTTTTAATTTATAAATTTATTATAGCCATTGAATTAGACCCGTCGTCTCTGCTTATGCTATGACGTTTCTCAGGTCGGGCAAATCAAGTCCGTTTACACCCACTAAAAAAGCATTTCCCTATTCCCTACCAAGTGCAAAAGACAGAGATAAAATATAGATCAACGTTCAGTGTAACTCAGTCTATACACGATTATAGATTCTACCGATGTGCATGGCGAGTGGCACAAAGATAAGTCACTCTTTATAATTTCGGCCGCCGAGTATAGTCTATCAATCTCCATGACAATAATATTTGCATGTGTTTCAAACTGTTTGTCATTTTGAATTATTGTTAATCATAGAGTTAATTGTGAACATTTAGAACGACACTTGTTTTAAAATCATCATAATGGCTTTGCATTATTCCAATGAAGAAAAATATTATTGACCCAGTTGTTTTCATGGTTCTTAACGTATAGCTTTTCAAAACTTCCAAATATTCTCAAATTTGTTATAAATTTATAAAAATTACATTTCATTTGGTGTTTGTCTTTCGAGATAATTTCTAATATAACTATTGCTTTTCTATTACTTTTAATAAAACACAATTACTTTTAATAAAGAACATATCACATTTTTCTTCTTTGGAATAATGCAAAGCGTAATTTTTTCAGTCAACGCCCTGACAATAATAAGCTTTTACAAAAATTTGAGACTTCTATAATAGTTTCGAAAAATTATACAGTGTTGCCAGATTTATTAAAAATATTCAAATATTAATTTTTGAGGTAGTTTTTGAAATTTTTTCCTATTTACAATACCGGGTGATTCAGTTTGGTATTCGCGGCTCTGTATCTCTTTTAACAAATTACTATAACAAACCCTATATATGTTTAAATCGCCACTCAAACTCTATTAAATTACATTATTAGATCGTTTCCATGGTAATATATGTCAAAATTGGTATAGTCAACTGTTTTTGTTCGAATGGCACATTATAGTTTCATTAGAAATGTTGCTAGAAAAACAGCAAATAAGATGAACTCTACTTTTTGTAGCTCTATTCTGAAAAATGATAGCCAGCTGCGGAAACAAGTTACTATGTTTTTTAAAGTAACATATTTTATTTTTAATACGATAATGATATAACAATTTAATACAATACTTATTTCAAATGTTCAAAATGACCTCCATTTACTTCCAAACACAGAGTAGCTCTGTTTATCACTCCCTCTCTACAAACACATTCTAGTGTTTCTTCATTTAATCTCCGACATTCTACTCTTCTGGTTTTAAGGCCGTTAATATCATTTAGGTAAGACCAAAGAAAGAAATCTACAGGAGTGAGATCCGGAGATCTAGCAGGCCATTTAACATCTTTATCGAATGTTCTTCATGTCTTGCCATTCTGGGTTTAAAAACTCTTCTTTTCTTCTGAAAACTTCCATCTGCCGCCAAATTCCTGGTTTCCAAAAATTTTATCTGATGGAAGTTGTCTGCAGAAAACGATATAAATACCTGGCAGCTTTAGCGTTCTTTCGGCCATCTCCATAAATTAAAATCTAGTTTTTCTTGATTAAGTAAGTATTCATCTGATAATTAGTTATAGATAGAATAGGTAGATACAAAATGTCAATTATTTTGACAAACCGTTATTTAGAAACGTCAAAATTCATTTGTTTCCGTAGCTGGCTATCACTTTTCAAAATAAAGCTATTGAAAGTAGGGTCCATCTTTTTTGCTGTTTTTCTAGCAATATTTCTAATGAAACTATAGACTTCCTTATATAGCTGAACGCAGAAAAAAAATATCTTCCAGAATTGATAAAAAAATATATAGTATGTGCCATTTGAACAAAAACAGTTGACTATAGCAATTATGACATGTTACCATGGAGACGATCTAATATCATTTGATAGAGTTTGAGCGGCGATTTAAAAATATGTAGGGTTTGTTATAGCTATTAGTTAAAATAAAAGAGATACAGGGCCGCGAATTTCAAACTGAATCACCCGGTATATCATTGAAAAGCCAAAAAAATGCTCAGCGCCCATAAGAAAAAAGAAAGTTGATGATGGTTTCTCGCAACCGAAACGTTGCGATGAAAAGTTGAATATACACTGATATTTCTTGAAAAAACTTGCTGTGAAAAAGTGTTGTCAGATTTTAAAAAATCCTTTAAATAAAAAAGTTCCAGACGATTTTCGAAAACGCCACATTTACTATTTTTCAAAATAATTGAAAAATCTAAGGAGCTGTGACCGGTCTGCAAACACCATTAAGTTAGCAACACAACTGTCTAAAACTTTCTTCATTTAACCAATACATGCATCGCCAAAATGGTCCACACTGTATTTCTCATGTACCGCCAGAAATAAGAATCTAGAAAATTATAATCAATTGATTCTAGGTGGCCATGCAACAAGGTGATGCTTTTCACAGACAACTTTATAGAGGCCTAAGACTTCGGAATAAATAAACATCAACCCACCATGTTTATATGTTTAGTCTTAGTATTAAGTCCCGTTTCAGGTCAGTCATACGCTGTGCCCTACATCTTGAGTTTGATACTCAGGGTTCTTTCATTTTTGAGCAATAACTAATAATTATTTATTCATTGTGTAAATTAGGAGTTATAATCCTGCTGAAATCCAGCTGTTCTGTCTTGGGTTGCCCAAGGGAACCCAGAGGTACATATTTTTTTAAGTTGACACATCTTCGAAAAGAAGTATATACAGGGTGTCACCTAATGAATGTTACCTTGAGGGTATAATGTAGAATCTAAATGGTGTCGTTTTTACCAAATTTGCTTAAACAAAAAAGGTCGTAAAAAAAGTTACAGGATGTTAAAAGTTTCTTTTTTATTGCTTGTCTTTAACTTTTATTGCTTGCTTGCTTGTCTTTAACTGAGACACATACCCCATATTTTTTGGAAATAACTACGTATCCATAATAAACCTAATAAATAACATAATTAATAACATAATAAACTGAAAGGTGGCAGTAATAGTAAAGTCTACTAATTTATAATAAATATTCTACATGTCCCCCATTTTTTGACACATTTCCTTAAATAATGTATGAATCTATTGAGAATAGGAGACGAATTATATGTTTGTCTAACTTGTGTGGTATATTCAAACAGCATTTGAATTAGAGCTGGGTCGCTCATGAACGACTCGCACGAATGTGCCGGCACATAATCTTGTGCCGTGAACGAACGACTCGCAACGAAGGAGCTAATCGTTCATCGTTCATACCGGCACCTAATCTCTGACCGGCACTGAGCGAGCACTGAACATTGAACGAGCCGAGAGCCGAGCTCGATTGTTCCACTCCAGCTCCAGAGTCAGAGGTAAATACCACGACTCACGATTGGACTACATATGTGTGAATTCTCCATATAACGTTGACTGATTATCACGACAGAAATATAATTTAGGAATAAGTGAGCCGCAAATGTAAAAATAAATGTTTATTATTAGAATACTGTAGAATATTTTAATAGGACATATAATTGTTTAAAACTGCAATAAATTATTATCAAGATATTAAAAATAGAATAAAGTTTATTTCTCCTAGGCATAAATAAACGGAAAAATTATTAAATTAACAAAATCATCTCAAATGCAGTTATAGGTAATAGTTAAAAAAATGTTTGCAAATTATGTAGATACCTATTACAAATTATAATTTAAAAATATAATTTGAGAGACTTTTTCACCTTGTAAACTACTTCGTTTAGCAGTAACAATTTGCCCTGCTTTGGAAAAAATCCTCTCACACGGAACAGATGATGCTACGACATGTAATAAATAAGAGTTGTTAAATTATATAGAAAATAATAATAGAGAGAGAAATAGTTGTTTTTTTTAGGTGGAGTTTTCCTAGTTCTAAAAAAAAAAGAACATAAAATCGATTAGCCATCCTTATATATGAAGGCGAAGGAAGGTGTAAAGAATAGGGTCATTTGTAATAAACACGATTTTGTTACTTGTC